CGCCCCCGCCAGCGCCTCCTCGATGCCTCCCTCGTCCAGGTTCCCAGCACATCACAGAGCAGACGCTCGCTCCGGTCTCTGGGGCATCGGGAGGCTCAGGCAGTGGCCCCCAACCTTTCCGAGCAGGAGGACCCCCTTGTCAGCATCCCGCAATTCACCAGAACCCGTGCTTGACTTACTAGCCGCCAAAAAGCTACTAAGTGGAGCCGTACTTTTCAATGGCCCTATTTTTTTCCCATTACAAGAGGTTTTACACACATTTGAGAAATGTATAATTAGCTCAGTCTGTAGACAGTCCTCGGATTCAGGTGCATTCCCTGTGCCGTCGGCCCACCCTGCAGCCCCTGGAGTCTAGAGTAGGTCAGGGGCATGACCCACCCTGTGGGCTCACTGGGTAGCAGCCCTCCCCAGGGCCTCTGGGTGAGGCCCGGGCGCCTTGCTCAGCACTAGATGCAGCAATACAGGGGTGCCCTCAGGGAGGGAGGTGGGAGCCTTGCAGGTGAGAGGCCTGGGGTAACAGCCGGCATTCCCGAGGGTTTCCTCTCTGCCAGGCACCTTGCAAAGCATTTTGTGTGAAGAAACCCGTTTCTGCTTCACCACAACCTCGTGAGACACATACTATGCGAAGGGAACCCATTTCATAGGTGGGGAGTTGAGGCCCAGGGAAGTTAACAACGTTCCGAGTTACACCCAGTAGTGGAACTGGCAGGCAGCCTGGCGCCTAGCGACCCTCCCGTTTCTCTGGAGGTGACGGAGGCAGATGCCACTGAGAGCCCCAAGGATGGGGTGAGCTCTGTGTGTGCCTGTTGGTGGGGGCCTCCTGGCAGAGAGACCAGCACAGGCAAAGGCCTGGAGAAGGTGTCACACTAAAGCCCCGGGGAGTGACCGAGGCAAAGCGGCTGGAGGGTGACGGCTGGGGGCAGCCGTCGGGAGAGAGGCAGGGTCGGCTCACAGTGCCACCTGGGGAACGTCAGGTGGTTGGTCTTTACCCTCAAGGTCTGCGGCCACTGCCCGCTGAGTGGTCAGGAGAACTTTTGCTCTGGTGCAGTTCGGTGGAGTTCACGTCTAAATATGCATGTTCTTTATCGTTTCCAGGAGACTATTAACATGTTTGAAAGGAACATCATCGACTTGGTGGGACTCTTTGTCGAAAGCGTCCAAAGCCTATATCCTTTCCTTGCCGCCCCTCTGCGGGGAGGCGCTGCGGGCCGCGGGGCTCTCAGGGCCGCACCGCCGCTCCCGCCTGCAGGGGGCTGGGGGAGGCGCCTGCATTGTAAACAAAGGCGCAGAGGGCACAGCTTCTTCACAGCTAAGCAGGACGCAACTAAGTGGCGCCACAGGCCTGCCCCCTCCCACTGCCACCAAGGAAAAAAGCCCACCTTCGAAGGATGGAGATTTGCCAACCACTTGGAATGTTCGAGGAACACTTCCTGACCCTCAGCACAAAGGCGCCTCATTAGAGTAGAAGTCTGGGTGCCCACCGGGTGGCTCTGCAGGCCACCGCTTGTGGCACAAGTTCTCTAATGAGTGACTTCACCAGGAGACCACACCCCCAGATCCACCCTCCCCCCACCCCGGCCCCCAACGGCAGGTGCACAGTGCCTTGGGGGGTGAGGCGACCTCTATGCTGAAGCCGCTAACAAATACATCATCTGTCAGGAGACGGGTTAAGTGTCAGGTCAGGCACCAACACTGCGGGCACGCCTGACCTGCCACCTGAACTCAGGGCCCTGAAGCCCACCCCAGAGTCACCCCAGTCCTGCCCTCCTGGGCCCACGGTCCCGCTGGGTGACAGTGCTATGGACACAGCCGACCGGAGGCCGGGCCGGGAAACTCCCTGAAGGAGGGTCCACTAAGTGAGGACCTGAGGGTGGGCCAGAGGGACGGGCTGGAAAGGTGGGCAGGGCGTTCCAGGCAGGCTCGGGAGGCAGCCTGTGCAAAGGCCCAGAGGACGGGGAGAGGAGGTTCCAAGAGGAGGCCTTTAGGTCACAACAGAGCGTGAGAGCCGCCAGCACAGCAGGAGCGGATGGGACTCCGGCTGCTGCAGGGAGAAAGGGCTGGAGGGGAGCAGGCCAGGAGGGACCCCGAGGGCGTGCGTGGCGGGCGAGTCGGAGGGCCCTGAAGGCGGGGATACACGGGCCCCAGCGAGAGGAGGGCGTGCCCGGCCTGCTCCAGCCCGGCCTTGGCTTAACTCGCGCTGCACGATGGCTCAGTGCCGGGACCTGGAGAACCACCACCACGAGAAGCTCTTGGAGATCGCCATCAGCACCCGGGAGAAGATACTCAAGTGCGAGCTGGAGGAGGACCTGCCGGACGCCGTGCGTCTGGTGAGCGCGGGGGCGGGGGGCGGGGGGCGGGCGCGGGGCCGGGGCCGGGCCTGGGGGCGGGGCGGCCCGGGCACCAGGCAGACGCAGCCCCGCCCCGCAGCCCCCGTAAAGCCTGAAAAACCTGCCGGAACCTCAGTCTCCTCATCTGCAAGAGGGGCGGTAGGCAGGCGAGATGGGCTAACAAGCAAAGCAGCTGGTGGGCACCCAGTGCAGCCCAGCTACAGAGGAGCTTGTGATAATTAGGTGCTTTCAACTTACCGAGAGGTTGCTTTCCCAAAGCTCATTTTTGTGGGGGCTTCTGGCATCTTCTAAGAGAGGCAGCGACAAACAGAGGTTGAGGTCCGAGATTTCCCCGGAAGGTCGTCTCAGCCCCGAGTCTCTATGGCGGGAAGCACTGCTGGGGTCTCTGCCCGCCCGCGGGGCGCCAGGTCTCCTGCGCTGGGGGCCGGCAGCGGGTGGGCTGTGTCTCTGCGAAGGGCACCCACTTTCCTTCCTTCACCATTCACGGCCCCCCCTCACCTCTCTCCTCCTCCGCGCTCCACCAAGGCAAGCTACCACCGCCCTTTGCGGGACCCTGGCCTTACTGCTCTCCACGCAGCAGCCAGAGACCTGGGACTCCTTCCCCCCAGTGAGTCCTGGAGCAAGGTCTCCGCCGAGCCCCGCCCCGACACACCCTTCCCCCAGGCCTCCGTGCACCCGGCTCCTCCCCGTGTTTCAGATCTCAGCTCACACCCAGCTCCTTGGAGAGGCCCCCCCATTCACCTTCCCAAAGGCCCACTGTCTCTCCGTCACAGCCGTTCAACCTTGTCAGAGCCGCTGTCACGGTTCCAAGCTATCGTGTTCGCGTCGACTTGCTTAGGTTTCTCTTCACACTACATACAGGCCCCCCGGGGAAGGCAGGAGTGGCCTCTTCCCCACCGCGGTCAGCCCCCGCCCGGGGTGCCGGGTTCACCACGCCCGCCGTCAGGTGCTGGCGGAGTCCTGCAGGCAGGGACCAGCAGTTCCGACTCCGCAGCCTCTGTCAGGGGCCGAGACAGCCGCCAGGGCAGTGGAAAGGTGGCAGGGCCTCTTCAAACACCCAGACACAGGGAGAGGTCAACTTCCCGAGCCTGAAGTAAGGCTGCCCCCAAGAGCCCACCCTGGAGCCGCCTGACAGACCACCTAGCGGTCGTGGAGTTTTTGACGCAAGGCTCCAGGGTCTGTGACACCTCTCTCAGGACTGGGACATGCAGAAAAGGAGGCCCCGAAGTCAACGGGAGGTGAGCAGCCTGGGCGGGTGCTTCCAGGGTGGCTCTGCACGGCGCCATCTGACACCTGTTCCCGCGCCCCAGGACACTCAGGCTGCTGACTGGGTTGGGCTTGCATGGGCTTGGTTAACTCACCAAAGGACCCCTGAAAGTGGCTTTCCCACCCAGTCTACAGATGGGAAAGCTGGGGAGACAGACAGGGTCTCAGAGAAGTTCGGTAAACACCCAAGATGTGTTGTGAGGACACCTCGTCTTGTGAGGATGAGTCTGGATTCAAACCTTAGTCTGAGATGCCGAGCCCGGGCACTGAGCCCTCACTGCAGACAAAGTGGGTGTTCTGGGTCTGCCCCTGGCCCCAGGCCCCAGGGTAATGGGGCTCTGCCTCTGGGCTCCCGGGCGGCACTGGTATCGGGTGCCACCCTGGAGGCCTCATGGGGCAGCTGGCAGAGCCCGCTGGACACCCCTCCCTCTGCGGGCCCATCAGCTCTGTCCTTTAGGAACACCTGTAGCAGGAGATGCTACACCGTCTCCTTACGCTTAAGCAACAAAACGTGGGGTAGCAAGCCCCGACTAAAGCGGAATCACCACGAGGAGCTGACAGGGACCGAGGGCCTCCCGAGGGCCAGCTGCCTGAGCAGCTCTGGATGTGTATTTGCCCTTTTAATCTCCAAGCCGACACAGTGACATAGGTGCCAGTGTGGTTCCCTTTCACAGGCGAGGAAACCGAGGCTCAGAGATGACAGGGAGCGTGTGGGTGGTGGACACGGGCAGGGCAGGGGCTTTCAGATGAGGCCCTCGGCGATAAAAGTCTGGTTTCTGTTTCTAACCATCAGCGAGCGTATTAGTAACAGGGTCTCAGAACACTCTTTTTGCAGAGACACTAACATTTCAAGATCCATATAGACTGTATTCTGGAGATCATTGGGTTAACCACTCCCGAAGGAGAGACAAACCCACGTGTACACACCTGCCCGTGCCCTCTCTACAACGCAGAGCTTTCAGGTCCCTCGCCGTCGTTGGCGACACGAAGCGCCTCCGCTTAAAGCTGAAGCAGCCGCCAGCGACGGCCTCCCCGCCCTAGGAAGTGACCACGTGGACCCGCAGACACGCTGGGCGCACGTGGCCAGTTCACGTGTGAACACCTGGAACCAGCCGGGCCTGGCGGGTCCCACGTCCCACAGTGTCGTCCACGGCGGGGAAGCGGGTGGGAACAAGGCAGGAGCCCAGGTGGGACCCCAGGTCCAACTGGGTTGACGTGAGGGGCAGCAGAGACCCATCGGCTTGTGGGACCTTCTGTCGTCAGAGGAGCCCTGTGCCCCTCGGCCGGCCTCGTGCTGCCCACCCGATGGGCAGGTTTCAGGCAAGTCAGACTGGAGACCCTTGGCGAGGTGGCCGGGGCTGCCCTGCCTTCTCTTGGGGAGGGCACGCTCCCCCCAGGCACTGCCCTGCCGCCCGGGGGCCCCTTCCGGGGACCAGTGCCACCGGGCCGACAGCATGGTTGCCCGAGATGGGCTGAGGAAGCAGGATGCGGGCTGGGCGCGGCCTCCGCCTGCGGGGAGCTGGGCCCGTCCCCTCTGGCTCCACCGCCTCTGCGCTCGGGGTGGGTCCAGGCCCTCACCTGCTCTTCCTCGCTCCCCAGCTCTTTGTCGACAAAGACACGATCGTTAACGCGGTCGGGGCCTCACACGACATCCACCTCCTGAAGATCGACAATCGGGAAGACGAGCTGGTGACCAGGGTCAACTCCTGGTGCGCACACCTTGTGGACAAGGTGAGCGCAGCCGAGGGCAGGGAGGAACGGAGTCAGGAAGGCAGGCTCAGGATCCCGCCTGACGGGCCGGCCGCCGTCTGCCCCGCAGATTCGCAAGGACGAGATCATGAGGAACCGCAGGCGCGTGAAGGAGATCAACCAGTACGTCGACCATGTAAAGAGCGAGCTGGACAGCCTGGAGTACAGCGACCTCCTGGACTAGGGCTGCGGCCCAGCCCTCCCCCCGACCCCCAGACTTCACAGGTAGAGAAATAAAGGACTTTGGTTACCTTTCTCCATCCTCTGTGTCCGCGTCTGAGCAGTTGGCGTCTGCTGAGAGCGACTCCTAGGCTCTAGGCCGCCCCTCCGCGGCGCCCAGGGCAGACCCTTCCCCAGGTACAGCTCCCAGCACAGCCTGGGGGCCCGGCCAGCCCACCTTGGCGGAGGCCGCAGGGACCCAAGGACCCTCCACAGCTGAGAGCACAGCTGGGCGTCACCCGTGAGGTGGGGATGTGACAGTACCGCTGGCGAGCACATTCAGGGTGCGGGGTGGGGGCCTGCGGGGAGCTGGCCAGTGCCCCCGGAATGGGGGCAAGGCCCAGCAGCTCCGAGGCTTTTGTGCCCCAAACTCACACACTCTTCCTGCTCCCTGACCTGGGCCCAGGCACCCAGAGACCCCGCCTGCAGTCCAGAGCCCTGTGAGTGGCCCTGTCAGGAGGACCTTGGGATCCCTGAGCAGGTCATGTGCACATCAGGTGGCCTTGCCCAGGCTTTTATCCCAGAAACAACGAACACCGTTTACTTTCTATTTTTTTTAATATATATTTTAAGATGTATTTATATTTATTTTTGGCTGTGTTGGGTCTTTGTTGCTGTGCGCGGGCTTTCTCTAGTTGCGGCGAGCAGGGGCTACTCTTCGTTGCAGTGCACGGGCTTCTCGATGCCGTGGCTTCTCTTGCTGTGGAGCATGGGCTCTAGGCGTGAGGGCTCAGTAGTTGTGGCACGTGGGCTCAGTAGTTGTGGCTCACGGGCTCTAGAGTGCAGGCTCAGTAGTTGTGGCGCACGGGCTTAGTTGCTCCGCGGCATGTGGGATCTTCCCGGACCAGGGCTCGAACCCGTGTCCCCTGCATTGGCAGGCGGATTCGTAACCACTGTGCCACCAGGGAAACCCTACTTTCTATTTTTAAGAGTAAATCATTTTTGCTAAAACAGTAGGAACAAACAAGCAGAAACAGATGGCTCGGACCAAGAGGGACTCAGTTTTAAAAGACTGTTTGATTAAAAACCAGAAAACAAAAGCCTTGGGGCTAAGGGCCACTGAGAGCTCCCCGGTGGGAGGGTCCAGCCCAGCAGCACGTGCCCTGTGGGTAGGCAGGGTGGCCTCGGGGACCCAGAGGTGACCAGAGCAATGAGTAGAGGCTCCATGCGCTTCGAGGCAAAGAATCGTTCAATATAATCACTCGTACCCACGCCCCCTTGCCTCGGCCCAAGCTGGCCTCCACCAGCTGCGTGGCTTGGGGCCCCGCCTCACCCCTGCAGCAGCTTGTGCTTGACGGCCGAGCTCTCGGAGCAGAGGTGCACGAAGAGGGCACCGGCGGCCGTGCGTGCCCGCAGGTCCTGTAGCTCGTAGTCATGGGCCCACTCGACGTTGCCCCACTTCTGGATCTGAGGGGAGGACGGGACAGGACACTGGGTGACCGGCCAGAGCCACGACGTCCCATAGCTGAGGAGAGTAGGCTCTGATCCCGCCCGAACATAAGAGACATGCAGGGGGAGCAACAGGTGAGAAAACGCGGTGTGGGGGCGGGCAGAGCAGGCACCGTGCTCATGGGTACGGCCACACGTGCATCTCCCCCAGGGGCCTGACCTTCCCACGGGGAGGCTGGCGTGAGGCAGTCTGCAAAGTGTCACCCTCCATGAGCTGCCTCGCTGGGCAGGGCTGTAAGTGCCCCGGTGTGGGGGGGATGAATAAACCAGCCAGGGCCACACGGTCGCTGCAGCCGGGCTCCTGGGGGAGGCCGGGACAGCAGAGGCCGGCATGTCTGTACTGGGCAGGGCTGCAGACTCTCTCTCCAGGAGGAGCCCTGTCCTGAGCATGGCTGTCAGTGCGACTCCAGCCCACCCTGCGGGCCCGTCCCTGGCCAGGGGCCCAGAGGCGTGGGCCCCCAACCCAGGAACTCGAGATCTACCTGCATTTCAGGTGGCCCAGAACATCTGAAGGGCGTTTTATACTCTCAGAGAACTGTTTTGCGGTGGGTGGAATGTGAGGTTCAGGGAACGATGGCCCCGCTCGGACCCCGCAGCCAAAAGTAGAGCCCGGACTGGAAACCAGGTTTCCTGGCTGCCGCCTCCAGGCCCAGATCGCCCTCTTCCCATCCAACCTTTTCTCACACCAGAGAGTAGCCGGCCTCTCACAACACAGAAGCAGATTTATACCCTGGCATTTTCCTGAGTGGATGACTAGACGAACTTGGGAAACACTGTCATTACAAAAGGGTTTTCATCATGCTAGGAGCCAATTTGTAACAGCAGTTAACCTTCTGAGGCTGGAAAAGTGACAAGGGCACTGCAGAGAACACCATCATTCTGAGTTAAAAAACGCAAAGGGCAGTGCAGCAAAGCCTTATTAATTCTGAGCCTCCTGAACCAAACGTGCACAAGCAGCACGTCCGGGTGTGCAGGCTCAGCCTCCTTCTAGAAGCACCCACGCGGCCCCTGCTCATCCTGAGGGGCCCAGCCTGCAGTTGTGCCCGAACCGGCCTGAACCTCCACCCGCAGAGGGGGGCTCAAAGACCCGCCTCTGGCATCATATCAGGGGGCACCCGCGCCTCGGATTCCTCCTGTGCAAGATGGGAAACAAGAGCCCTCGCCTGACACGGTGCTGAGAAGAGGCGGCGAGGCGGTGAGGGAGGGCTGAGCAGCACCGCCGTGGTTTGCTACCGTTGTGACGTGACAACACCTCTACGGGCCTTAGCGTCCGGGCTCCGCGTGTACACAGTGGGTGCCCTTCGGGGAGTCTGCCTCGGGCCTTAGCGTCCGGGCTCCGCGTGTACACGGCGGGTGCCCTTCGGGGAGTCTGCCTCGGGGCTGCGCCTCACCTGGAAGGCCTCCTCCAGGCGCGACAGCAGCACAGCCTGCTCCACCGTCAGGTGCAAGTCGATCAGGCCCAAGGTCAGCACCATGGACTTGAGCTGGCTCACCACAAACTCAATCCCTGCAGGGACACAGCCAGGTGGGGACCCGGGACCCCCATCCCACACAGGGCAGTCGCCAGGCGGGGGACAAAGCCTTCGCCACACTTCTCAAGGAGCGCTCTGCTCTCCCTCGGGGATCCCTGCTCTGCTCCTGCCTGGGGCAGGCCCCGGCCCATCAGAGAGAGCACTCCACCCTGTGACCCGAGCCAGGCCAGGGAGACTTGAATGGAGACTCCTGAAGAGGGGAGAGCCACGTCCCCCAGGGAGGGTGTGAACCTGCTGGTCCGTGGACCAGGGGACAGGTTAGCATGACAGCCCTCCACCCCCAGCCCGTCCTCCCTGGCCGACAGGAAGCACCACGTACCTTGTAGGGCCCACGTGTTGTAAGAAGCCAGGTGGCTGACCAGCACCTCCCGAGTCCGGGCTGGGATGCTGGGCCCCATGATGCTGGTGGAGGAGCCGATCTTCACGCCGTATCTGAAAGGAAGAGGCTGCATGTGTGTCTGTCCTGCTGTGCAGCCCAGCTTCTGCCCAGAAGCAGAGCCCCAGCCTGCTGAGCACACGTGTGCCCCTTCAGGGGCCAGCTGGGAATACTGACAGCACCTGCCGCTGCAGTCAGTGGCCTCCTGACCTAGTAACCTCCTGTCACCAAGAGCAGAGGGCAAGAAACAGCTCTGGATGGAGGCACAGTTGGCAAGTCAGGAAGCAGGGGGTCACTTATAGCTCCTGAAATTCGAATTCATTGGCCTGAACGTCCATCAGAATTATGGGCTGCCTGCGTTTCAAACCTTTGCAGAAAAGGCTTCACATATGAGCCATAAAAGACTTCTTTTAAATATTGTTTTCTTTACAATAGTTGTGTGTGTCCTGTATCAGGCAATCATTTTTTCACACATTTATTAAGCCTCTACCATACACGAGACACTGTTTTTGGTCTCGGACACGAGCTAGCTTCAAGAACGATACATTTTCAAGAACAATCTTAACTACACAAAATGCAGGAAAAAACAATGGAATAAAAGCAATTTTTGTAATTTCCTTTCACATATCACTGATTTTTCCCATTGGTTTAGAAACAGTCTTTCTGAAATTTCCAACAGTACAAATGGAACACAGGAAGTGGCCACGTTTTCCTGTGACCTGCTACGGGTGAGAAATTCCAAGTGCCACAAAGAGCTGACAACCCTGCAACACAGCAAAGGCCGCAGGCACCAAGCTACTGGTCCATTTCACTGCACTCCAAAATGGCATCACATCTTTGCGGTTCTCACGTGGCATCTGGTCGTTCGGTTTTATCTGATCCTTCGGCACACTGGCTATGCCTCTTCCTACAAAACCCAAGGATGCCGACACATCGTGGGTGCTCAGGAAATGTGTACAGTTAAAAAACGCTATGCCAAAACCACTCCACGTACGCACACTTACAAAATACTGTGGTCAAGGGAGCACAGGGTCAGAGCCCTTTGCGAATCCCCTGGGAATGAAATGAAACTAAATCAACTGTGCCATATTAATGGCCTGTTCAATTCTGCACAAGAGTCTTCCTGCTAAGGAAAAGCACTGGGCATCATCAATCCCTGGAAACCTCCCACCCACAGGTTCACCTGTCCAGGCTTTTCTCCATGTGTCAGGATCACACACGCTGCTTTGTGATTGTGTATACGACTGCACAGCAACTGTGACAACGAGCAGGGCGGTATCTGCCAATGCGAGCATGCAGCGTGTGCCAAGCAGGGTGCATCACTTCGCATACACCTCCCAATACCCTGGGAGGTAGGGATTGTGAGCCCCACTCACAGACAAGGGAGCTCAGAGAGATCAAGTCACCAGCCCAAGGTCACACAGCCAATGGGGGAAGAAGCACTGAAGAGCATTTTCCCCCAAGGTGGCCCTGTCCTGAGTCCCCTGGGTGCTCTGAACGCAGAACGCTGACCAGCTCAGGGCCTCGGCTGTCCAGCATGGCCCGGACCCCGGCCTGCCCAGTGCTGAGCGGCTCACCTCTTCTCAGCCCAGCCTATGACTGGGTCCCACTCGCTCCTCTGCAGCTCCACCAGCGTCTCTGGTTCTTCCACCCTGCAGCTAATTCAGTGCAAAAGCACCTCCATTAATAAAAAAGTACAATTCTCTCATCCAGTGACAGACACAGATACACGAAACGCAACAGCAGACCTCTCCACCCCCTACGCCCACCCAAAGCCTTTCCCCCTAAAGCAGTGGTTCTCAAAGTGTGGCCCAGGGCTCACACTGGACCTTGCTGGAAATGCACATCCTCAGGCCCCGCCCTCTGGGGGTGGAGACCAGCAACCTGCAGCTTCACAAGCCCTCCAGGGATTCTGCGTTAAGTTTGACTTTGAGACCCACTGTCCCAAACATCCCCAGTTATCGACAGGTCACTGCCTGCAGTGCTGCCCTCAACACTAACACTGTCCCCAGACCCACACCCCCTTGGTCCCAGGATGCTGTGCCAGAAGCTCAGTCACTCGTCCTGCCTGCCAGCCCCTCCCAAGAGGCGGCGCCCCGGCCACGGACCAGCTGCCTGTCTGCCCATGTGCCTCCTAGCTACAGATGCGGCCGCCAGCGGCCCTGCCCGGCACCACCGATGCCAGGCCACACCACTGTTCTGACCAAGAGACAAAGATGAGGTCAGCTGAGGGGAGCTGAGCTGCAAGACCTCCTGGGACGGAAGCCTGGAGGGGTGCCGGGGAGGCCAGGCTGGTGTGAGCAGAAGTGGCAGGGAGGTCACGAGGGTGCGGGGAGGCGGCTGCCCAGGGGAGAGGAGTGGCCCCCAGGGCAGAGGGGGCTCCCACCCGCATCTGCCCTCAGTACTGGGATGGTCTCCAAGAAAACCCTCCTTCTCTGAGCTGGGCTGGAAGGGTGCTCTTCCCTGTAATCAAACGGTCCCTAACGCAAACGGCGCGGACTTTCCACCAGCAGTGCCAGCGGCCTCTGCACCCCTCGCCCCAGTGCCAATTTCACGTGCCATCCTGGAGGTACCCGGGTGTCGGAGCATTCGGGCGGCAGACATGGGGCTGCTCAGTTGTTCCTTCCACTTCCTGCCAACATCCCCGACCCACCCGCTAGAGAACCTGGGCGCAGGGAGGACGCAGGCGAGGAGGCCGGCCGCTGGATGCCAAGGTCGGGCCATCCGTGACCCAGTGGACAAGTGAGGAACAGGCGACCTACATGAGAACTCGTGGTGGCCGGACATGACCGCCTGGGTCCCGGGCCCTGAGAGAGCTGCAGAGGCCACCAGCCTATCCCGCCCCAGGCCAGGGGGCAGCTGCCGCCGCGGGAGGGGCCGGCCGCGCGGGCCTGCAGAGCAGCTGAGGGCCGAGGGCGCTGGGCCTGCCCTCTCCTCCACCGAGAGCGCCGCAGGCCAACAGCCCGACGGGCTCGCCCAGGCCCGGGGGCCGGCCCGCACGCCCGTTACCAGACGGCGTCAGTGTCCAGGAACTTCGCGGCTGCCCAGATGAGCTGGTCCTTGTCTCGCTGGGTCGGGTTGTCTAGAGACGTGTTGCACAGTGTGGTCTGGATCAAAGGCAGAGAGAGAGCCCATCAGCACGGCCAGTCCCGAGGACACTGCCCAGGCCCCAGGAACAGTGAACTCCCCCAAGGTCTCAGTCTCTGTACTACCAGGCTCTGCAGTGTTGAATTCAATCCTCACCACAACCCATTCCAGGAGGTACTATCACTGTAACCATTACAGAGACGCGGGAATCCAGGCCCAGCGAGATCAGGTCCAGCGAAGGCGACGTGGAGGC